TCACGGGAACGGGCACTCTGGAAAGCTGAATCCGATGAGTCCGACTCGTCCGGATCCTGATGAATAATAAAATAACCAAGTTGTCAACTCGTTAACATCTCTCATTGTTAGGCAGGGAAGGGCAACGACCTAAAATATGTCACCTGTCCAGCACTGCAGGACTGAGAGCAGAAGATCTGACCCTGCTTTGGCAGGAAGGGGCGGCCCAGCAGGGAGCGCTTGCAGTGGGTGCAGCAGAAACACTCCTCGGTGGCGTGCCAGTGCTGACCATCGTACGTCATCTGACCCTGGTCGATTCCTGGGATTAGGAAACAAAAACCAAGGAGGTGATTCACCTGTAGGACCTGGCATCAGGACAAGTGATGATTTAGGAGCCTGGAAAAATAGAGCGCCCCCTTTCAGTGTCAAAGAGAATGTGTCTCCCTGGGAGACGCCAAAACTGTAGTTGGTCTACACTGACTGTCCATTGGAGAGCTGTTCAGTTACAGTTGGTGTGGTATGCTACGCTAGGTTAAGCTACAGTGTGCTTTGCTATGACATAGTATGGTATGGTATCATGTGGTATGCTAGGCTAGGCTACAACATGCTTTGCTGTGGCACAGTGTTGTGTGGTGCGGCCTGACTGAGGTGTTTGGTTCAGAACCCAGAGGTTTTAAAGGACCAACACACGAGGAAGTCCAGAAGGTTCTGTACCTATGTGTTCCCCACATGCGTCACAGTACTCTGCGTACAGAGACTCAAAGCAGTTGCAGCAGTGTGGTCGTCCGTCCTTCATGATGTAGCGCTGCCCCCCCAGGGTGGTCTCACACTCATAACAACAGAAGTGCCTCATGTGCCAGTGTCTGCCTTCAGCCTCGGTGCACTCGTCAGCAAAGATGATCTGTGGGAGAGGGAGAACAGGCCTGTCAGCAGGCAGACCACAGGGGGGGGGGGTTGGAGGGGGGGGGGGGGGGTGAAGGTTCTGGAACATTTCCCAGAACTAGACAACTACTGTTGTTAACAGTGTTGTTTCACAACACCTGACGAGCTAACGTGAATCCAAGTGAAACAATCCTAAACACTCGGACACGGATGAGGTTCTGGGATGTGTTTTTTTCCGGGCCGCGGCCCAGACGGACGCACCTCATCACAGGCACAGCAGCGCGGCTTCAGCCTCTCAGCGTGATGTCGGCCGCAGTAAAGCTTTCCGTCCTGGTAGAAATAGATCAGATCCACCAGCAGCTCCTCACACATGGTGCAGACGAAACACTGGGGGTGCCAGTACTTTCCATGACCCGCTCTGGCTGCAAAGACCACAATGTCTCCCCCATTTATCTGACCACCACACTGGGAGAGGGGAGAGGGGGGAGGGGAGAGGGGGGAGGAGAAAACAAAGAGAGTCAACGACAGGAACGCAGCATCAGAGACGGAAAAGAAAATCAAAACGAAACTGATCAGACGGAACAGATGAGAGAAGAGAAAAGTCGTCAGGATTAATGATGACTTCTGTCACTGCCCCCTGATGGAACATCAGGGCAAAACCTGACGACAACGTTTGGAAAACAATCTCAATTATTCAGATTCAGGGCTGTGGTGATTAATCATGTGGTTGTCTGTAGAAAATCGCAAATTAATCACCCATAATCCACCTGTTCTAACTGTCGTTATTACTGCAGTTATTAATTGAAGAATATTATTTCTCGCACTTTGAATCCTTTTATAAAATCATACAAACCAAAGACGTAGAGTGTGGAATAAAAGAGCACTTCTTTTTGACGTAAAGTCACACAGATGTGCCGCTCTCCTCGTTAGCTCCTTCGCTCCGTACGTTAATCCTCGTCAAGTAAATGGTGTCGTTAGCGTCTTGTTAACTCGTTGTATAACCGCTGTATAAAGAGTGAACACACGTTGGTCTTTTCTGGCGTCTACCTTGTCACAGATCGCTCCGTTAATGGTCAGTGGAAAAGGCCGGACGTTGCCTCGACCCAGGTTGTCCTTCTTCCTTTGGTTGCTGAAGAGCTTCAGCTCCTGCTTCTCCTCCTCGTCCAGGCCGTTGCAGTAATGCACCTTCACAAAAACATGGCTCGTTAGCATTTAAGCTAGCTGTTAGATGTTCAGCATGTACTGGTGGTAGGAAGAGGAGCGCGGCGTGTACCTCGTTGTCATGTGGGGGCAACTGGTGCAACAGTTGTTTGAGTCGATATTTCTCACCAGCACTGTTGATGTACGGAACCTTGTCCTCTGGTAAGGAGTTATAGTACTGATGCACCTGGAACACACACACACACACACACACACACACACACACACGTTAATTTGTTATGAACCTGGGAATGATTTTAACTCAGGTCTTTGGAAAATTCAGGGAGTCAACGGTCAATCTGGAGCAGGGGAAGTCGACTGGACGATGAAGGGCAGAGACAGTGTCCATCTGATGATGGTGTGAACCACAGACAAGACAGCAGCTTCCTGATTGGACGGTTATTCCAGAGCAGATAGACCAATCAGGGATTAGACCAATCAGCTGATGTTTTTGTCCGTGTCACTCAGGCCTGTACCAGGTGCCATGTACAGCTTGTACTTTCAACATCGTCCTGTGAGCATTTATCATGTATATTAGCATATTAGCAGGGTTGCTTAGCAACCACCTCCGCCGACCTGGACAGCAACAGCTCAGCGATTCTCCTGGTGAGGAGACGCATCAACTCTCAACAACCTTGATGAAGGTCGTGTCTGAGGCTGAGCAGGAAATGAAAACTTTATAAACAAACGACAAACACGGTCACCTGGTCACCAACCATTTGACGAACAGAAAGAAAAACTTTCTCTGAATCTTTGGTTTAACTGTTGTTCATCATGAAATATTTCATCATAAAAACAGAGAGAAACGGACTGATGGTCACGTGACCGTCCTCGTTCGTCCTGATTTAATTTAAGCTCCTCACTTATCCTGGCTGTGAAAACAGCTCCGACGCAGTGTCAGTTTCCACAGAGAGAGCTGAGAGTTTTCTCAAACTTTATTCTCCCGTGAAATCCCCCCCAGTGTTTCCTACAGACAGTGAACCACAGTTGTGTTGGTCATTCATCTTCTCATCTCCAGATTATTGTCAAGTTTATCATTTCATTCTGCTGGATGATGCTGAGTTAACGATCCTCTAGGTGGCAGTAGAGAGTTAGAGAGCTAACATGCTACTGTCACTGGTGTGTACCTGCTCGGGGCTGAGACCAGGGGGAACCCAGACGTACTCCTCCAGGGCACAGCCGGAGTCATCGTCAGAGGTGGAGTTCCTCTGGAAGTCGTACATCATCTTGGTGATGGTCTTCTCCATCTCCAGGGTCATGATGTCACAACATGCTCCTCCCCACGGACGCCGTTGGTCGACTCAGGGCTTCCTGTGGGAGAGAGCACCAGTTTCAGACTGAGCGATCAGGAGATTACAGTGGACGGAGAACGAAGGTTTTAATAACCTGGATTATCATAACCTGGATTATAATAACCTGGATTATAATAACCTGGATTAT